CAGGGGCATGAAAGGATATCAATTTGAAGACTTAGAAGAGGTGAAGGAAAAATGATTAAGGTGCTGTCAGCCATCCAAACAGATGATTTTGAAAAATGTTTCCAAGAATGGAATTGCCAACGTGACAAATGTATTAAGTGTGATAGAGAGTACTTTGACGGTGATAAGGTTGTTTGGTAGAAAAAAAAAAAGTTAAATACATATATTTGAAAAATCTGGGGTTTTTTGTGGGGTGTGTGTGTGGGGGACTTACCCCCTCATAGCTTCTGGTCTCACAGAAACATCTAATCCACAACAATATGACAAACTGACAAACAAATGATGGGTCATTCAGATTAGAATATGTTAGATTTGAGGAGCCTATTAGACATCGGAATGAAAATCCTAAGTAAATAGTTGCATTGCTCAGGAGAAAATCCAAAACAAATAGATGCCATTAGCATATGATAGTTAGAGACATATAAAATATTTCATGAGACTATCAATAAATGGTACTTTAAACATACCTTAAGTCATGTGACTAGATATAAAATCACTAAGAGGTTGAGAATAGATAAAGATGAAGATTTAGCTACAAGAGAAACTGGGGTGTGTCATCTTTACTTAGGTACTACAGATACAGCTAAATGTCCATTACTAAAGGGCAGATGAGTAAAATGTCTAATGGAAATAATTCAATTCCTTTGCCATAAGAGTAGCATATCCTTAAAGTCTGAGAGAAAATGTCTGTGGATCTGTAATTGTATATCTAGCAAAATTAGATTTTATTAATGACGAGAAAACAAAGACACATTTATACAAGTAAAATATATGTATGTTTACTATCTATACTATTACTAGTGAATATTTTAAAATTTTACTTTAGGTAGAAGAAAGATAATCCCTAAATCTGAAGTTCAAAGTGGTATAGTTCATCTCTCACCTAGATTATGGCAATAGCCTCCTAACAGACTCTAGTGCTACCCTCGGCCGTCTAGTCAATTCTCAATATAGCAACTAGCATATTTTCCAAATATGTCATATAATGTGACTCTTAGTTCAAAACTATACACCAGCTTATCACTTCACTCACAGTGAAAGATAAATGTGTCAGCAAAAATAGAAACACATACCCAAATTTCAATGAATTGGTATTCCTTAGACCACAGAGTCCTACCACAATGCAGTTGCAAAACATTAGATTTTAAAATATTTATAGCATGCTTCTAAATTAGCATTAAAAAATTCAAAATGAGCACAAGAACATGAAACTGACTGATAAGTATAATACCACATATTAAAATTTATGTCATGTAAATAAAGGAAAAGAAAAAAACAGCTTAAATTAATGAGTTAATTCCCTAAACATATTAATAAAACAAATTAAGTGCTACAAATCTAGGAACAATATAAACATAAAAGCAAAAGTGAATGAAATAGAGCAAAAAACCAAAGTAGTCAAAAGCCATATATTATATCTTTGAAAAGAATAACAAAATTTATAAACCTCTGGAAAGATTGATGGAGAAAGAGAGAGTGCAAGTGAGCAATAAATAAGAGCCACAAGTACAGATGCCAACAAGTTTGAAAATTAATGGCTGACTCCCTGAAAAATGTTACCCAAACTGATTCAAGAAATATATCAATTTTGATTTAACAAATTTAGCCTATCACCATTAACAAAGTTGTATCCTTAAATATAAACCTTCCTAGAAATTAAATACAAGTCATAGATGTTCTTAGAGGTAAGGTCTACTAAGTACTTCTAGAACTGATACATTTAATTTTTCACAAATTTCTCTAAACCTCCCTACGTCATCTTAAGTGGCAGATATTAACTTGACTCCTTATAGTAAGTTAGGTGATATAAGAAAGGAAAATTATAGGCTAACCACATGCATGTTTATAGATTCAAGAACCCCAAAAAAGGCAGTAGAAAATGTAACCAACAGTGCACAATATGCATGAATAAGTTGGGTTTTTTAGGAGTGCAAATTTGTTTCTACTACGACATCATTTATTAATATAACTCATCAAATTAACTAAGAAAAGTATAAAAATACCACCATCTCAATAGCTGCAGAAAATAGCTTCAAGCTTGAACAAATTATAGTAAAACATTCTTAGCAAAATATGTCGTAAAAGGAATTTGCGCACTCCATAAACCAAATACCAAAACCATTCTCACTAAGTAAATTTTAACTCCTCGTGACCCTATAGGTCAGAGGAGACTTCTCCATATGTCTTTATAGGAGCAGGCAACTTCATCTTTCTCCCAAGAAGTGGCTGGTGGCTTTGAACCCCGACTAAGGTTATCAGCCCACCCTTCAATCTATAGAACCATTAACAAGTTCTGTAAAACAGCAAGGGCTAACTTGGTGATGAATTTCTATGTAGACAAGGCTGCCTACTTGCATGACTTCTGTTCAAAATTGTAACAGGAGTCCTAGTCAATTTTGAGGCAGAAGAAGCAAAAGAAGCTTAAGGAATTGAATGAATGAAAAACCTGTGCTATCATTTTCAGACAATGATAGAACATTAAAAAAGCAAACACACGAACTATGGTATATTATCGAAATAAGATCGCTTAGCAAGATGACTCTGTACACTAGTAACAATAAAAAATATTGAAGATTATAGGTTCTAAGTTTTCAAGCATAATGAAGAAATATAGGTGGCTGATTTACTCCACATCCCTCCCCACTAGCCAAATCAGTTCCATAAATGTCATGAAAAATTAGCAAATAGAGAGTGGATTAACAAACATAAAATCTATAGGAAATCCATGAGGAAACAAAGGTATTGGTTGGCTGAGGGGAGGCTGAAACCAGGCTCAGCAGATGCATCTGTGAGGCAGTCATTTTGGGGGGAAGTAAAAAGTTGGTTCACTTCTTAATGAACTTATTTCTCTTATACATTTCCTTGAGAGAATTGCTGCTTGCTGTACATCTGAATTGGCGCAATGGCATTGAGCTGCTTTTGTTTACTTTTGAAGCCTAACCCTACTGAGTCAAAACTCAGCAGTTTCCAGTCATGTGTGATTTTCAAGGTTCCACCATAGCTCTGCTAGGGTGAGGAGCAGAACAAAATAAATTAAGACTCCGCCAGCATCCCTTCAAATACTCACTCCTGCACTGCTCTCCTATAGTATTGCTCCTTCCAAAATATGGGCAGGAGAATTCATAAACCTGGTGCAGAGGCAGCAACAATGGTAGGGCAGCAGAAGTATGAGTGGGAAGAGCAATCATTCAATTCACCTCTCCCTCATTTTTTCCCTTATAAAATTTCTGTTGGATACATTTTGGACCTTATATGTATAGTCTCTGTGTTTCCCTCTCAAATTATACCTCCTTATGCATCTCTTTATTATTTTGTGCCATATATTTCTGAATTTATCTTCTAGTTCACAATTTCCACTCTTTATTATATGTCTTAGTTATATCTGGTGTTGCCATAACAGAAATATCAAAGTAGGTGCCTTTTTAAATCATTTTATTGGGGCTCATACAATTCATCACAACCTATACATACATCAATTGTGTAAAGCACATTTATACATTTGTTGCCCTCATCATTCTCAAAATTTGCTTTCCTCTTGGGTTCCTGGAATTAGCTCATTTTCCTTTTTTCCCCTCCCCCCCCTCCCCC